CTAACAAATGAGTTAACTATGTTTGAGTCTGATGTAAACTATGCCTTCAGCTGGTCAAAACAAAAGCTGTTCAGAGTGTTAACTATCTGGATTGAAGTGTTAAATATGTAATTTTCTCACATGTGAAAAAGTTAAACAATCATGTCCACTGTAGTGATCAGGTCATTTGAATTCCCTTACATATCTTCCTGTACGTACAAAAACATTTCACGCCTACGCTCGCAATGGAAAACTGTTGAAGTAGGTAAAACGTGGTCTCCCCGTCGGGGAATCGAACCCCGGTCTCCCGCGTGACAGGCGGGGATACTTACCACTATACTAACGAGGACAAACCTGACGACGGGACGGACCTGACGTAGCTATAAACGTAAGGTGTCCGCACTATACAACCATATACATTGCAACCCGAGGACACCAATAACGCCGTCATTGGTAAAGCGACTGCAAAACTTTAACCTGTAGCTACTTAACTTGGTGAATTTCCTTAGTGTGTCTGTGAAATACCTGGCATTTTGAGGCTTCCTATATTTTGCAGATGAAATATTTATAATTGATTTAGCACTAATACTATTTTTCGCGATGTTTGGGACCTGTTAGAAGTGCTATTTATGTATATCATAGGCATATTTATGCACTATTCTATACAGTAATTAACTCTCTGGATCATCCATTCTAAAATGGCTTTCAATAGAAAATGGCTTTGTTCGAAACCGTCAGACGTTTTGTTGTATCTACTGCCACCTGGCTACTGGTTCTGACAGAATTTGGTTTTAGGCAGCAAAATAAATGGCTTGAGGGCAGGGCTATTAACAATTTTTTGTGTGGAGTCTCAAGACACATGCTGCTTAGGCCTTACAGGCTTTAAGTTTGTTTTGTTTGTGTGCTGCCCGTATTCCTGATTTTTCAGTCTGGGAATCCGTATAGTTTTTTTCTTTTGCCGTCATGGCCTTCATACGCAATGCGACTTTAATGATTGATTTAAAGAACAGTAAGCGATACCTGCACCTGAACAACAATGATGACCAGATTATAGCCTGGGCAGGACAGGCTGTTCAAAATCCTGGCCTCTACAAACATCTCTTCAGCAGTGACATGGCATGACAACCTTGACCTTGGGAGGTACATATGCAGCGACCAACCCATCGACCATAGGCCAAAGATGGGACAAGAAAATCAAACAAGTTGACCACTCAATAATTTCCGGGAAATTTCGTGTCCTACATCATTGAATGTCAGGGTTCCATAGTGTAGTGGTTATCACGTCTGCTTTACACGCAGAAGGTCCTGGGTTCGAGCCCCAGTGGAACCATCTCTTTATCTACCAGTGATTATTTCTTACCACAGTTGAGTAAAGGCTCATCTTCTGGATAATAATAATATAATGTGATCCTAATGAATCACAAGCACTAAGAGAAAACATAGTGCATATTTATTTTGGTGCTATTCAGAGCAAATATACCTTAAATATGAGTACCATTTGTCAAACCATGTACGCACATTGACCTACACATATTCTCGCGTTAAGAAGTTTTATAAATCCCAAAATGTACGTTAAAATTGGCGTACGAATCGAAGTTACCATGTATATAGTTCTTATGACAATAGCTTTGCGGTCCTATACGTCACGTCCCGAGATAGGCAGCTCCTCGTTAGTATAGTGGTAAGTATCCCCGCCTGTCACGCGGGAGACCGGGGTTCGATTCCCCGACGGGGAGGTCCAAGTTTTTTATATATATATATAAAAACAATCTTCGTATGTTCACATGTGCTTATACATATGTAAACGACATACAGTACCAGTCAAAAGTTTTGAGATACCTGCTTGTTAATGCATTTTGCTTTGATGACAGTGTTGTAGACAGTCCTGGCATTCTTTCAACCACCTTTCAGAGGTAGCCACCTGAATGAAATGAAAAATGATGATAGCCACCTGAGATGCTTCTCCAACAGTTCCGAAGGAGTTCCCACAAGTTCTGGGCGCAAGTTAGCTGCCTTACTCTTATCCCAAACCAGCTCTATAGAGTTTAGAATTGTGGGGGCCATGTCATCTATCACAGCTCTCCATTTCCTTTCTTGTTTTCAAGATAATTCTAACACAACCTTGAGGTGTGCTTAGGGTCATTATCTTGTAGAAAAACAAATCCAACGGTCCAACTAGACACTGACCATATGGGATGGCGTGTGGCTGAAAAACGCTATGGTAGCCATGGTGGTTCAGTGTGCCTTCAATTGTATATAAATGTCTGACAGCATCACCAGCAAAACACCCCCACACCATTACACTGCACCCCCCCCCCCATGCTTCACAGTGGGCACCACACATGCTGGCATCATACATTCACCTTCTCTGTGTCTCAAAAAAAACACAGCTGAATATGTTGCATTGATATTAGCATATACAAGAGAAAAGGACATTTAAAAAAAAATCTTGGTTCTTCACTGTTATAAATATAGTAACTGACTGGCAATTTCCCTGATCCCACCTTTAAGATGACCAAACTATGTGCTGAGCTGCCTGGTAATATACCAGCATATCTCTTGATGGAGCACCCATCTAACCTACCAACAAATAGCAAACATTACTGTACCTACTAACCTACTAACATAACTCTTGTATTTTAAGAGCCGCTGTGGTCCAATCTTACAGTATATAAACGTAGAGACAGGGACTCCTTAAATGGGTAGCAGTTATTGTAGGAATGATTGTGGATGATATTATTGCCTGATAACTAACTTCCTTCCACATAATTGTGTTTTAATAATTAATTTTAGACAATAAATCATTGCACAAATCAATTGAAGCACTTGCAGATAAACAATGTCAACAAAAGTAGGACAAAGACGGTCATTCAATGTTCACATTACATGGGATGATGTCTTGGACAAATGACCCAATTTGAGGAGTGGGAGTGTTCAGTGCACAGTCTAGCTCTTGACACTGGGGTACTTCAAGTCGGTCATCATCCAGAATGTCAGCTACATCACAATTAGTGACATCAATGCCCTCCTCCTCCAGAACTTACATGAATCATAACTGCTTGCCTATGCCTGAGCTGAAGAAACGGCACTCAGCTTCAGTCTGCAGGCACCAACTAAGCTGAACTCCAACGGATTGCAAACGAGCTAATTGGTGAATGGCTAGAGCGAAACCAGCTGCTCTTTTGACAAAGGAGTGGGGTGTTTTGGCATGATCATTACCTGATCAAAACACATGGAAAGCTAAAGCTACAGCACGCTGCGAGCAGGGTTCGAACCTGCGCGGGGAAACCCCATTGGATTTCAAGTCCAACGCCTTAACCACTCGGCCATCACAGCTTATTGGGTCGCGTTTTCAGATCATGAGACTATGAACCATGTCGTTTTGCTTATGCTTCAACCTTGATAGTGTGATTACTGAGTTACTGACATAGAGGTTTGAAATCTGCTCACAGAGATAATATCTCTCAGGGAAACCCCATCCACCCCCACTACATTCTTGTTTTGTCCCCTCAGAATATGAGTTTTAATTCTGGGTTTGAGAACCTCACTGTTTTCTGAAAGCCATTTAATGTTTCAGTGCAGCTTTTTTTGTTTTCATTTAATGCAGCTGCTCATTTGATTACTATTGTTTGACTAGAATCATTTGACAGCTTGATGACTTTGCGAGCTAGGCCATGAAAACACAGCAGAGGAGCCATGAAGGAAAGATAAAGTGATAGATCTTGAGTATGATGGCACTTATTTACTTATTTACTTTTCCTTTTTATGAAAATCAAGCAATCATTACACCTAATGCAAGTGGGTTCCATAGTGTAGTGGTTATCACGTCTGCTTTACACGCAGAAGATCCTGGGTTCAACCCCCAGTGGAACCAGCTTCTTCTTGAACAAAGCTTGACAAAAAGTCCTTCAGGTCACTGGAGTAATGCTGGTGGTTGCTTTTCTCAAGGAATGGAGACTTTCTGATACGATTTGAATACACCATGCCATATAATCAACTGCTAATTAGTCTCTTAAGTACTGGGTACATCAGTTAGACACCCCACTGAGTTACTTTGACCACTCAGCCATATACATATTAGGCATTTAAATGGTCTTAGACTTGCTATCATTGCTAATTGTCTAGTACCATATTTTTGGATGTGCTTATTGATTAATGAACTGTTGAGTGATAAAGCAAACTAAACATCCTGCAGCATCCAGTATGTACTTGTATGGTAATTGTTCATTATTTACTTAATGCCATGTGAAAAGCATCAATTATATGGTTCCATAATGTGCTGGTTATCACATCTGTGTTACATGCAGAAGGTCTTGGGTTCAACCCCTGGTGGAATCATGCCTTTGGTCAATCAAGGCTTTTGGATGAAACATTTAGTTCCCTCAATGTAATGCTCCAGGTTCCTTAAACATCTACAAAGAATGTGGACTTTTTGATGTATCATTCAACCTTCAATCATACCTGGGAACTCTGCTGGGTCTACTGGTTCCCATTGCCAATTGTGTTAACCCCTGAAGTAATGGTCCCAACCCTGATGCTGGAGACATATGTAGTCTGCGACTTTTCTCTTGTCACCTTAAAAGCAGAAACCATTTGAACTGTTTAATTCAAAGAAAGACAATGGGAACTGGTAGACTCAGAAGCTCACTCCTTGTTCTAAAGCCAGGCTGCATTGATAGGCTATGCCCACTCTGGTCCTGCTGAACGGCAGGGTGTGACTGGCTCTTTTCACAATAAAATCAACAGCCAATTCAGAGTCAATTCATCCAGTGAGGTGCGTTAACCCCATAATCAACTGTGATAATAGGTCACTTAAGAACTGAGTGTCATCAGCATGCTATTAAGGTCAGTTAGAAACAAGCAGCAGGGGTAGCAGGTGATTAGTAACACTCTATCATCCACAGGTATGAGAGAGTATGAGCTTTCAGAATGACACCTTCAGACTGTGTGCTTCTCTCATAATGTCACCAGCTGAACAACACGTTCTCCTATGTAATGTAAATTGCTGTGAACATTACATAAGAGAACAGGGTTCAAACCTGCGGAGGGAAACCCCATTGGATTTCAAGTCCAACACCAACCTCTTGGCCATCAAAGCTCTAGCTTGGAAATCCCAAAGGAAAAAAACATCAATCAAGCTAAACAATAGATACATTACTGACCTACAGGCACTGACCTACAGTACTGACCTACAGGCACTGACCTACCTTTCCAGTTCATATAAATCAAGCCAACAGTAAATCGTATCTTTTGCAGGGAGGCAACATGCAGTGGCGATCACATCACTGCTTTATGCATGTGAAGTCCAGAGGACCCATCCCCTTCCTTAAAGTCAATCACTGACTGAATTTCACTTTGAAAAATTTGGTCTGATTGCAGATTATGAATACATTTATTTAGGAAGTGTTTTGTAAAAAAAAAAAAAAAAAAACATTTCATTTACTTTTTCCTGTACCACACTAAAATTACAATTTTGGGAGTGTATGTAAGTTTGCAGGCAGCAAATGATCATAAACCATACAAAAGAAGCTAAAATCCCATATCAGATATGATATTCATACATAAATATGTTACAAATAAATGTAATTCAACCACTATCCGACCCTTACTCTGCCCTTTTGACACAGCAACAGTCCCAAGATAAATGAGTTTATGAATGTTTTGATTAAATTGTTGGGCTGATGTCTGTGTTTAGCCAGGCCACGTTGCCTTTCAGCATGTCTGGCCTCATTCCCCTGGGACACCCTGCAGCGACACACTAGTTGACCTCCAACATACCGCTGCCATCCTCTGCCATGAGGTCAGGGGATTCCTGGAGTCTGGCTGTGCCCGTGCCAATGCGGGCTCCAAACCATTGTGACAAAACCCTGTCAATGCTAAGAGATATTGGTGCTTTAAAAAATGTGCTATTATTATTTTTAATCTCTCATTTTTTTCTACACTGCAGACCTGCAGATGCACACACACACACACACACACACACACACACACACACACACACACACACACACACACACACACACACACACACACACACACACACACACACACACACACACATATAATCACTGCAGACCTACACACACACAATACCTTTTAAAATGTTTTCCAGTTATTCACACACTGGCTCAGTTTGGGTGTCTTTACAGTGTTATCTTAGGAAATAAACAGAAAATACACCATGTGATGCTTTATGTGACAAACCATCGTACCAATAACATGCTACCAAAACAAGTTTTAATTGAATTATGTATTGATACTGTACATTGTACATGTTGTATTCTATTATCCATTGGGGGTATGATATATGTTATATTCAATGTGGCATATGATATGTGATATGTGGAATATCATGTGGTTGCAGAATCAGTTGTTCCAGGGGAAAGTGCACCCTGTTAGTCTCTACAGTAGGGGCGCTGCAGTTTCGGTCGGGCCTGGAGAAGGTATGGGGTCATTACACTGCAGAGGGATGGTATCATTTCTTTATTCTCACTGAATAATCTTTGTTTTTGTTTGTTTTTTTGGTTTTCTCTCTTGTTTTCCTTGTGGGAATGACTAATGAAAAGGTGGACCTGCTGAGCTGGGGCTAAGCTGACAGGCAGGATGTATGGTCCAGTGTTACCAAAATACATTAGTGCTTAGCCATTTAAGTCACGTCGCAGCACGTATTTATTTTTTTTTGGCGACTGAATGAATGCTAATGAATACCCCCTTACAGCTGATCCCTGCTATTTAGCCCAGATGTGAACAGAGATGCTATCAAACTCCCATGACATCATTATTGCTGATGTGTAGTTTAGCCTGGTTATCTGGGATTGGCATTGGTGGGCATGGAGATCAGTCATTTTAGCCGCATTTTTACTTGCTTCCTCTGCTATCTGCAGGCAGTGTTGAGCGTTAGCTGCTGGGCTGTTGAACACTGCAGTCCAGCTCAAAGAAAACCAGAACTGCAAGATCCCCTCAAAATGGCTGCTGAGTGAAAAAACCACAAAAACATGCAGACAATGTGGCCCTTGAGTACTGGAGTTTGAGAGTTTGACAGCCCTGAGATAAATAGAAAAAAAATACCGCACTGAAAAATGTGGGTTGACAAAAACTGGTTATTAAAGACATGTAAAGAAATGAATTTGGCAGTTTGCAGTCTTGATTACAGAATGCTTCAATTGTCACTGCAGGGGGGAATGGATGACTCATGACAGATTAGATAAAAACTTCTGAGGTCACTCTGCGTCCGCTTCGAAAACACATCACCCTCAGAACTCAGCGGCCGTCTTGTTTTATCTGTTAAACTCGGCACACGTTCTTATCCGGGCCAGCAAAGCTCCAAGTCTTTCCAATTGCAGCTGGACCAAAAAAGGAGCTAATTTGTTCAAAGAAGGAGAGAAACCCATCCAAAACCCTGCCTGATTTAGATGTAAAATCCTGGCAACCATAGCTGCACAATTAATGATTATAGTTTGTGAAATGTCATGCATTTTTGTTAGTTGTAAAGGTTTGGCTTTTTTGTTTAAATGAAGTGCAGAAAACACAAGCAAGTATCTAGTGACAGTTTCTCTTTGTGTTCTATTTTTTGTCAAGCCAAATTTTTTCAATGTCATGTATATTTTCTTCACACAGCCTGAAATTCCCAATCATATTTGTAGGCCAAAGGGTGGGACTTTGGTTGTATAAGCCATGTAGTATCTGGAGTTTAATGACTTTGTTGTCCAATATGTCTGCTAGTGTTTGACAAGAGATCAAAGAATGACTTATTCCACCAAATCTAATGATCACACAGGATGGAAAACATGTCTCTCCTGGCAACACACAATATCCCACCCATTTTTCATATTTAGGATATTTTATTAGATTTTCCAGTTTTGTCTAATGTAAAGTGAGCAGGCCCCAATTACACGGTGCTGATGTCAGCAGCTCCAATAAACACAATGACATCATGATGGAAATCCATTCATAAGTGCGGGGGCATAAATAACGTATTGACGTTATTTCATATTAATATTTTAACCTCTTGTTATGATTAGACTGCAGTCATGTTCTTATTACCCCCACCCCATAGTAACAAACTCCACTACAAGATGTAAACAGAGTGAGGGAGCTACTCTGCAAGCGAACAATGGAGTAATGCTGTTTTTTTAAATAAAAAAAAATGTTCACATCTTGGCCCATTAAGGAGAAACCTCCAGCATTGTTGAGGACACACAGCTGGGATGAGGTCGTTTCCATCCATAGCAACCGGCAAACCGACTAAATTGTGCGTTAAAGTGCTTAAGTGTGGGTGGTGGGAGTACGGGTGGGGGGAATGGGTCATCAGAGAAAACTCCGCGCCCCCTCCCTGAACCCACTGCCCAAATTTCAGTGGGTATATCTCACTCCCCCTCCATCCTGATTGTTCAATGCCATCAGCCTGAAAAGACCCTGAGAAATCTCTTACCACAGTCTGTGCAACCATGAGTGAGAGAGACAATGACCTAAGAGCTCCAGTTACCTATGATCTCCTGTAGAAAGCCACATGCACGTGCAAGACTACATTAGAACTGCAGTAGCAGTATAGTAGAGCTTTCCTCATAAATGAGTGTTCAGTCAATTGGATGTCGTGTGAAAATAGCAGATATAGTCAGTGGAGGTGACAAACCGAACACTGTTTTCTTCAAAATATATCTGTGCGCACTCAAAATGCTCCTTGGTACAACTAGACTAGATGAGAGTTTGGGGCCGGGCTTTGATTTGAGTTGTTTGAGAGACCAGCACAGGTAGGAGGAGGTTTGCTTGATTCTTACCCACATTAAAACAATGATTTTAAAGCAAATCACTGAGCCGAAGGGCCATATTTATCAAAGCCTTTAGCACATGTACAATTTCAGTGATATGTTTTATGATTGGTGCAAATAAACCACCTCAACCAATCCCATGCTCTCTTAATCTTTTTGCAAAACAATTTTACACATTCCAGATGTGAGTTGGATTCAGCTGAAACGCTGTTGTTGTACCCTTTAACCAAAATAGCTAACATAAAATATCCAGTTGTATACATTTACAATGTGTATAAATGTGAACTATTGTTTATGTTACTGCAGATAGGCATCTTTACTCAATGTCGTAATATAAATCTGGATTCAACATATTTGTCAGGTTATGGTACATACCAAAATAACTACAAATATTTTCCAGAAATGGTTATATATTTTAGCGTATCAAACACATGTTGCGTCACGATAGCCTTGGACGCACTGTATGAGCCACAGATATTTATAGCATTTCTTGTTAATGGGCTTTTCATAAAGCAACCTCAATTTCTCTTTGCTGGGGTAAATGGATAATAAGTTTTCACATCTCTCTCCACAATCAGGGTCACTGGCTTTCTTAACAAGCTACGAGTTGAAGGGCTGGAAATGTTTTTTTTTTTTTTTTTCATACGGGCGTCTGGAGCGACACAAGCGGGCGAGCCAGACAGAGCCGTAGATAAAACCTCTCTGACTGAGCGCAATCAGGTCTGCCGACCGAGGCGAACTGACAGAACCGTTGACAATAGCGCATTGCAGAGACAGACAAGAAATTACCTCAGCGCCTCCGTCATCTAGGATTCTGATATTGTTTCTGGCCGTATAAATGAACATATAATTTATATAAAATACCGATGATACATTTCTTCAGGTACAACAATACATAAACACTGAAAAAAGACCAGATAGGTATCATGATAAAGAATTGTCAGTCCTATTTTACACTGTCAGCTTTATCATTAAACCTGTTTTTCATACTTTCTGAAAACTTTTTTTTGTGATGGATTGTTTTAGACGGGAAACAACAACTGATTTGTTTGAATCATTATTGTACTGAATGTGGTATGATAACCTTTGCATGTTTCAAATCATCATTTCAAATATAATACAGAGATCAGATTACCTGAAATGATCATGGTTAAAACAGCATGGGTTTAGACCACCTTTTTATTTTTATTTTACATTAGTGCAATGATTCAGGATCAAAGTTCAGTTAATAGCTCTATCAATGCTAATTACTTGGAAAACACCATCCACTTACAGTACCCAGTATTAAGAATACAAATATAAAAATAAAAAAAGTAAGAACAATATATAT